AATTGTTTTGCACAGTTTTTAATAACTGCCTATGTAACTGTTAATTGCTTGGCTCAAACTTCTAAAAGGTATTTCTCTTTCATATTTTCGGATAGAAATTAACTAAAATAGTACGTGTTGTAAAATATACTAATAATGTTTTGTTTTCTTTAAAAAAGGTATAACCAACTATCTCTGAATTTGCCTCACTAACGAGGTCCATATTCGAAAGTTGAAGAAACCTAGTAGACTGTATATTCGTGTACATTCACTTTTGTATTTGTCCTTTATAGAAATTAGCGCCGATTGCAAATCTTTGATTATCTCTGTTGTATTAATCCACAACAACACCTACTTGTCTACTGTAGTGGGCATATGTTGAACTCTAGATGTTTCTGTTTGGCTACTGTCTCGCGGAGGTATTACTGTACACAGAATTTCCATTTTACTAAAACGAATTGTAGTTCCTTCACAATACTATTACACTTCAGTTTACCAAAGGCAATACAATTCCACATTTTTATATTTAGAAGAGCACCAAAATGAAGGACATTAAAAATCAAATTATCGAAAAAATATTCAAAACTGGCACAGTCCGACAAGACCAGCATACAACATTTAATACAAAAACAATGCATGTACACTCGCTTTAACACCTAACTTAGGTTTAGGCTATTTGTAACTGCCATTAAAACCGGAAATAATATCATATGCTCGAGAAGAGAGAGCTGAACGCGTCGTAGGTTTCACTCTTAGAGAATTTGCCTCTATTGTATTCCTTTGGATATGATGTATTCCTTTTAAATAAGTTTGATTATTATAAAATACCATTTAAATTAATTATTTATCTATTTTACATCAGTATATCTTTATCAAATTTTCTTTGGGGAGTTTTTTTATTGTTGCTCGTTGGTTACTCAAGACCAATTATTTTTTTAAAGCAAAATATATTAAACTGCTAAGGCTTAATCTTAATGTACTTGTCTTGTGTTAAATTAACAGAATTTACATTGAATACTTTTTTGAAATGATTAGTTTTGAGCTTAGATTTAATCCTAGCGATTGAATTTTGAGAAACATTATAACACATTAAAATATTTTGTTTTTTGCTTTGATATCATTATTCATTTTTACAGAAAAGCAAATTCTTACTCTACGTCATAAAACTGTTATGATGTAAGAAGGAAATATTGATTATATTTTGTTTAAAAAGTTAAAAATTATTGAAAAAGTTGAATGAATTTACATTAATGCTGCTTCAGTTCACATGGACAATTACATGAAGTCAAATGTCTCCTTAGTATTAAGATGGGCAATTCATTGAAGGATGAATTGTTATTTATACCAGAGATTAACATAATGTCAAATACTTTATTAAGCAGACCGCATTTGTATTAGTTCTTGTTGTCAGAACTTTGGGAAACCTAGTTATCACAGATTCTCCCGCTCGCCGCATAACTCTGGAACGGTAAAAGTCTACAGTCAAAATCGAATTTGACCTATATATTGTAGTCCGTGACATTGTTTAAATTCAAAAAGATTATGTCTAGTGGAACATATACCATCATCCTAAAACAAACAAGAAAAATGTGTTTTAAAGATAAAATGTTAACACAGAGATATGTCTCGCCTTTTTGTTATTTTGATAGTAAAATGCAAAATAATTTTAATGTTGAAATCAAAATAGCAATATTTTAACATGTAAGTTATGAAAAATATTCAACAGTGTTTAAAGTCAATGAAACATGACTGAGGTACAGGGCCAATCATTCTCCATTGAAATGAGATGTGCCAATGCTACTACATATGCATACCAAATATCATTGACCTACCACTAGTGGTTCCTCAATAACTGACCTAATCACAAACTAATACATTGTTGATGACGCCGCCGACACCGGAAACAGCATACCTATGTCTTGCTATGTCTATACATTTTTTATATGATTTCTGCCTGTATAATACCTACCAGCTTCTGTCATTAGCTGATATATATTTTAAATATGTATTAGATACAATACAAAGGTAACAAAGAAACAGGCCGGTAACAACCGTTGCCGGATAGTTTTTCTGCACGAGTAGTCAGGTCAAGGTCCGAGGCGATAGCCGAGGACCTTGACCTGACTACAAGTGCAGAAAAACTATACGGCAGTTTGTTTTCGGCCTGTTTTTTTATACCTTTGTTTTGTATCTGACTTGTACGACGTTTCAAGAAAGAAGTAGTACATTTTTCATTTAGAAGAGGTAGCAACATTAAACAGATAAGAAACTTAAATGGCCATATACCAGTTAATGTAAGTTACAGTTTAAACAAACTTTTTTTTCACTTCCCTTCAGCCGAGAGTTTTTTTCTCAAGAAATTCAAGAATTTAATAATTTTATAAAAAAAGAACCATATCAAGTAAAAGATGAATGTCTTACATATTTGAGACTTTTTAAAATGCAACTTCGTAAGTAAGTAATGTATGAAAAAGATTTCAAGAGTAAGCAAGCTAACCGATTTTTATTTTGGGGAAAACGGAAAAGGGCAGAGGGAGGTTAAAATTAATTTAAAATAAACAGGCTTGATCCTTTTTTTGTTTAAGAAATGAAGGATGTGCCATTCCATTCCCTCATTCCCCCTTAAAAAATAATAAAAATCGTACTTTTGCTCCCAAATATATGAATTCAATATACATGTATAAAACGAATGAATTTCCTATTTCATTAGTGAATGAAACGTTATAAAAAAAAATGGATTTTGTCTTGTTATTAGATATATATATAGGCATATATTTTTGATTATTTTAAAAATTTTCATGCTTATAGGTTTTTATATGTCTCTAATAGTGTTGGTCAGGATTAAACACATGTCACAATATGATCCAATCGCAGCTAACCGTCCAAAATTGGTGACATAAATTGAATGATTTTCTTCAAGATTTGCTGCCTATTTGAACATGTATTACACGGACACTTTTTATTTATAGGATCAATCGTGCATTGGTGAGTTGATAGGAGTTTTATCTTTTGATTAGATTAGATTTTTTTTATATATATTTCCTGTCTTTTTATTGAAATATAAACGTCGGTACCAGCATTTCTTTACTTTCAGATAGAATTGTCCAGAATACTACTCATGTCCATATATTGAAAAAAAAATACATTTACGGACTGACCATTTAGCTTCAAAAGGGGGGTATGTTTTTTCTGAGTAAGAAAACTATTTAGTTTTTCAACGCTATCACCCAAATATTTTTTTTCGAAATCAGCACTATTATATACGGTTTTCGGAAAATCAGGAATCATATTAACATTATTTTGTCATCTGTTTGACCACAATATATATTTCTCATAAAATTGGGGATCAGAATATTTTTTTAGGAAAAATCCATAACCCCCCTTTTGAAGTTAAATGGTCAATCCCTTAGTCTACTGATATGAATAGTAATATACTGGAATTGTTTGAAAAAAATATAGTTATTGATGCCAACGTAAATATTTTAATAAAAAGACAGGAAATATGTCGGTGTAACAAAAAGTTCAAATCTAATTGAAATTTAAAGTGCCCATGAACTCACTGACCATGCACGAGTGATTCTATTCATAAAAAGTGTCCGTGTAATAAATAAAAATTGTCCGTGTATCATCTAAAAAGTGTCCGTGTAACACCCGTTAATGTACTGTTTTTCTATAGCTCTGCTGGGGGGGGCAAAGTCGTACAAATTATAAATAGTGAGATGTTCTTTAAATTTGATAAGCTTCGTTAGCACATACTTACAACTTCTCGTCCAATCAAATTGCTTATATTTGCCTTCTAATTTTCATAGTACATACTTTTCCTGTGTACTAAGTAACTACGCATGAATGACCACAAGGGTAAGATTTCATTGTATCGTAATCAAGATATTTAAAACAAAAATTGCCACTGGCTATTTTGAAATAAAATGCTGTGTTCCAAATTAAATTAAATAGTTTGTAATTAGTTTTCACGTTGATTTTTAAATATTCTGCTATTAAAATCTTTGGATCTAAAAATTGTTTTTGACAATTGCAAATTTTATTATTTAAATAAAGGGTAATACATATGGTTCTTTATACCTTGATTAGAGTACAACGATATCTTAAAATTATGATAATGTATCATCCATGCAATTACTTTGTACACAGAAAAGTGTGTACTATGAAACCTTGTGCAGGAAAATTAAAGCAACTTGGTGATAATTTTTTAAACTTTCTTAAGGAAGGTGATCTATTTCGTCATGAATTGATTGATTTATTGATTATTGGTTGCTTAATGTCCAGTGGCAAAATTTCATGCATGTTCAGGACGATGTCATGAATTGAAAAACTGTGATTATGTCTGAAGATAATGTGCCACCTATATATACATATAAACATATTCTGATAAATCTTTTAGTTTTTACTTTGAAATAATAAAAAAAAAAACACAAAACACAAAACCTATAATCTCTGATCTATTGGTAGTTGCTTTTTAATGCCTTTCTGCTAGACTATATCTATGGGGACAAACTATCTCTAAGTTTCAAATTTTATTAAAGCTTTAGTTTTACTGTGAAATTAAAAAATGTTTTCAAAACATGTAAAGCTTCCACTGCAATTTAATTATTGCCTGCTTTTGGTCAATTTATTTTGTCATCTTACCATGTAAGAAGAAATGTATAGTAAAACACCGCTTTATATCAGTATACATACTTACACCAGTCGCTACCATCTTTTCATTCTGGAGTGAAGGGCCGTTTGAAATCACATATTTTACAATAATACTAGTGAGTAGATTTACAAAACTTCGTTAATGAGCTCCTTTTAACAAACACATGTGATACAAGTAGTCAGCCAAAATAAACTATCAATAGACCAATTAAAAGATTACTCGAGTTGTAAATATGTGCTAAATTGGATAGTCTATGAAAAGGTATATACTATGAAATTAAGAGCTCGGGGCAAGCCCCTCGCTCTAAATTTCATAGTATATACCTTTCCATAGACTTACCTAGACTAAAAGTTCATCTGAAGTAAAATTGTCAAATTAGTCATCTGATTTGGTTAAATATAGTGTGAATACTGTTGAAATTTGTTAATTTAGAGTAGATTGTCACTCGATATTATTAGGACCTGAATAACAGTTGAAGAAGGACGCTCGACGCACTGATCTGTGGAATAAAATAGACGGGGATACATAAGCAAAGTAAGACTATTTAATACTTATTTGTCAGCAGCTGTTTTACTACTGTTGCAGTCATTCATGCATGATTAATAATTTGTGTAAGATGATTCAACTAGTTCGCCAAAATATCCATCCTTAGGAATATATTCCATAATATTGTTATTAGAATCTCGACCAATATGTGTTGATAAAAAACTACTTAATGTAAAAATAAGGAGATGTGGTAGGATTGCCAAATTGAATTATAAACTCTCCACCAGAGACCAAATATCGTAGAAGTTAACAACTATAGGTCACCGTACGGCTTCAACAATGAGCAAAACCCATACCGCATAGGAAGCTTTTATAAAAAGACCCGAAATGACAAATGTAAAACAATTCAAAGTAACGGCCTGATTGGTGTACAAAACAATAAACGCAAAACAAATATGATATTAAAGGTTCCCTCCTGGCTTAGGAAAGGTTCATAGAGAATGTAGCTAGTTTAAACGTGTTTGAGCTTGGTAATTGCGTTCATTTCCAGTAAAACCTTGTTGTTTAAACCAAGTTATCGGGTATTGAAATTGACCTTTTATAAACACCAATAACGTCAAAAACTGTGTCTGGACGCTCTCATGGTTAATTAAAGGATTTTTGTTTGTCTAACGTCAAGTGGCAAATATTTCATACATATTCAGTTCGAAATCAAATTTATAATCTTTTTGATAGGTGTCTATAAAAATAGGTTAAGCGGGATGAAAGACGTAAAAAGGGGAGTATTTTGGGACGCCTTGTTATAGCACTTCTACAGACCCCCAAAATAATTATTTCGGTGTTTTTTAACGTGAACAAAGCGTGGGAGTCTCCAAACACTAGGCATTGGATTTAACACACCGTTGCTGACACGACCTGGCTGCGTATCTATATATCCAGTACAATCGAAAGTACGCCCTATGAGCATTGTTCTTGCTGTAGTACGGGACCAACCAAATGACCATATTTCTACACGCTAGTCAACGCTTTGGTATGTTTTGCGCCCATAAGTATAATTTTTTTTCAAGGGAGCAAATGTTGATGTATGAATAATTTCGATTTTAGTGGTTTTACCATAGCTCGATTGCTGCACTCGCTAAAACTGATTGTAAGAGTGCTTGTCTGTCATACAAGTAAGAGGTTTAGCTAGCTATAAAACCAGGTTTAATCCACCATTTTCTACATAAGGAAATGCCTGTACCAAGTCAAGAATATGACAGTTGTTTTCTATTCGTTTGATGTGTTTGAGCTTTTGATTTTGCCATTTGATAAGGTACTTTCCGTTTTGAATTTTCCTTGGAGTTCGGTATTTTTGTTATTTTACTTTTTTTTGTTGATTTTTCTAAATTAAGAAAGCTCTGACGGGCATAAATTTTTGATTTGTTAAACATGTACAAATAAAACAGGAGCTACAATCAAAAGGGCCAAGTCGTCTATGATCATAATTTCTCGGGAGTTCGGAACCTTATTGGAAAAAAAGGAGTAATAAAATCGCACCTGCATCTACAGGTATGTACCATGCTAATACCGAAGCACTGACTAAATACGGGGGACTATAATGTGTGCTTCAGAATAATGGGATGACAGGTTGTAACGTTATTCACTGTAAATTCATACGTTACCAGTTTTCAGTATTTTTATATCGGCGTAAAACAGATAACGTTTACCTAAGATTAACATTTAGGTTTCAAACATTAGTTTCATTACAATGTTAAAGTGATAAACAGAAAATACATCACTCCTTTAATATTAAATTTGTATTACGTAGTCTCTTTACAAATTTGGCTAAAATTCATTCAGTTTAAATATTCCTCTGTAAACATATTATTAGAAACGTATACTGTGTTATAAGAAAATTAGAATTTATATTTTCCTTTTTTCGGTAAATGTATTTTAAAATGTTGTAGTAAACCTTCATAAGTGATTGAATGTGTTTCTAAATTATTTCAAGGTTTACTTCGAATTTGTATGCACCGTGTAAGTAAATAGTAACACATATAAGAATAATGAGATGCTTTATGATTGTCAATAAGAAAACCATCCACCTGAGTCTAAATACGATATGTATGTAAGCAACTTTAGGTCACCGTATGGACTTCATTTATATATTTTTTTTTCATTTTGCATATGTTTGTATTACCACCGCTTCGAAAATTGGGAGTATACTGGTTTATGTTCGTCTGTCCGTCCCATAAAATTTTGGTCGTTTATTGCTTAGGAACATCATATCAGAGCGTCCGGAAATTTGGTATCAAGCTTTGTGTGAGCATGCTTTACTGCGTGATGCATTGCTCATTCACTTCCTGTTTACCGAATGTATTTATATTCTTGCACATTATGACCATGATTTCAAATTTTCTTTGCATGTTTCTCATGAACTACAAATGAAGGCTTTCTGAAAATTTGTAACCAACCTTAATGTGATCATGCTTGTCATGTGAGAAGTTTTCTCCATCAATAAAAACTGACCGCCACGAAATAGCTCAATAGTGTCGAAAGTAGCGTCAAACACAAAATTTATCAATCAACCAACCAACACCAACGTATGCGAATAAACTACAAAGCCGTCTGTATCAACGTCTTTCATACTTTTAAGTTGACAAGTTAGATTAGTCATGTCTACCCTTTTTATAGTTGACTATACGGTATGGGTTCCCCCCATTGATGAGGGCCGTAAAGTGACTTATAGTTGCTTAAATCCACATCATTTGATATCTACTGGATATTTGTCCCAATAGAGGTCAAAACACACTCTCATTATTTTATCTATAATGTATTCATTACAGTAGCTTAAAACTGTACTCAATAATATTCCTGACACAACACATGATTGGAAAGTCCAGTTACAGATCAACTTTCAAACATATACAAATTAATACGATCCTTGACCTTTGGCATTATTTCTCCAGATGAAATAGTATATCTGAAGACAGTACACGTGTTGATTTTATACAATCGTGGGTAGGGTTTATGCAGCTTGAACAAAAAGACTGTATGAGTGTGATTTCTTAGAAAACATAATTTTAAAGGAAATGATTTGTCAAATTAATTTCAAACTGCGATGACATTTTTGTTTTCAAACCAGAATATTTATGTTTAAGGAAAGTCACTGTGAACTTGCAATGACATTATCAAAGACAAAAAAATTCACACACTCAGGTGACAGATATAGTACGAAAAAGTAGGAATTCTGAGATAACAGATTTGATAATTTCAATAAATTGATTTTGTCTTCAATGTTTTCAAATCATAGTTAAACAAAAAACATTCAAGACATCGAAAGACAAAATATTTAAAAAAACCATTTAAACCGAATGAGCTAAATAGAATAGATTATTAATGGCAAGGATACGGTGCAAAAATTAGTTGGCATGCATTTTGTAGCCTGACACAATAACAAATTAAAAAATATTAATACTCAAATTATTCAGTTTAAAGGATGAAATTTAATACAATTGATCGTTTTTAAATGAAAAATGCCACAAATGCTTTTATATAGATATAACGTTGTGTCTACTTGTGTCCTCCTGTATCCCCCTGTTTCTTAAAGTTTTATATAGAAATTGCACTGTATCCAGCTGTGTCTGCCTGTAGCCATTGTTTCTTTAATTTTTATATAGAAATTGCACTGTGTCCGCCTGTTGCCACCATTTTCTATATTTTTATATAGAAATAACTTTGTGTCCACTTGTGTCAGCCTGTATCCCTCGGTTTCTATAATTTGCATATAGAAATTATAGCATTGTGTCCCTTTTTCTTTAATTGTTATTTATAATAAATGCATGACTCCCATTTTCGGCAATTCATTTATGTGTAGGTCGTGGTAATGTAGGGACTATCTTATTATATGGGAACGTTTAATTAACGGTGTTTTAGGCAATCGATTTCATAACAAATACGATGAAATGGTAGGAATTGTGTGAGTTTCCTAATTGTGAGTATATGAATGTAAATCATGCAATTTATCAGTTAGGAAGTATCTTTTTATTTATTTACAGTTCAAATAAATAAATTCTATAAATTTTAGTTACAACTAAAGTTTATTCCACAGCCAATATTTGATTTCAACTCTACATCAGATACGATTTCATTAGTAAGGTAATTAACTAAAATCAAATTTTCATATAAAATGCCTTCAAAATGAAATTCAAAGGTTGATTACCCTATATAATCTGAAATTTTATAAGCGTATTAGCTTTAATATAATTGAATTTGTAATCAATTTCAATCATAAAATTTAATCCTTTCAAGCTGAAATGGCTTGGGTCAGTTGTAACTCATTTACAGAAATTCTTTGTTTTGAATTGTTTATAGGCATAAACAAAAGGACAATCCCTTGTCTGGAACATGATTTACATTTACAATTACGACACATAAAATCCTACAATTTCATTGGTCCATAGCACTTTGCTATATTCTAATACATGTAGGTAGAAGATTCAATCATGCAAACGGAATAAAACAAATGTTTATCATTTACATGCACTATCAGTTTATTCAAATTGCTGTTGCATGTATACGAGTCTGTGAATAAGAAAATTCTGTCTTTCCTACCGATTTACACCCGTACTGTTTTACAAATTTTCCTTTGATGTTTTTACCAATGAAACACATATAATACTCAAAATTAAAGACTAAAGCTTATACAAAGCTTTCTCGTATAAGCAGCCATGCAATAATATCAAATAGTCAAAATAATACACATAAAGAGTCTTATTGTAATAATAATACAAAAAGAAAGAAAAGAAACGGAAATAAATGAGGATCGAGCTTATACCTGCAAGATGTAATCTCAGCGTTTACTCAACATTGCGTCCTATAGTACCTTGCGGCTACAATTACGGTATGCAAATATCATGTATCATATATATAAATGTTCGAGTCCTTTGTGTTGATTGAATAACGTTTATTCTATTTCAAAATTAGCTTCTGCTCTTAAGAATATTTGCTGAAAATACTAAAATTATTCTAAATTAAAGCTATAAATCGCTATATCACTACTACATATATGCATGTACAAAAAAATAGGCACAGGATCAGATTCATATTTTATAAACTGTTTGACATTTTAAGTCCAACTTTTTAATAGGTGCTCTGAAGTGCGATTCTTGAAACCTTTATAACTGAGGATGGGAGATGTTGCTTTGGCAGTGGTAATAGTCAGTGTATTGACTCTGACTTTAGCACAGACCAGTGATGTCAATCAGTTTGAATACAACTACTCATTAATGCGAAATGCACTTCACGAAAAAGAAGATAACTTAGCAGGATATAAGCAAGTCTACACAGAGGTCTGTATACTTAATTACATACTGCTATATATGTTCATTTTTTAGCACAGTTCATATTCTTAGTTTTGTTTAACTCAATTAAGCGGTGCTTAGAAAGTTCGCTCCAAGCATGTATGTGATAATTAAGTTTTTGTACCTTGGCACTTCATGGCTAAATGTTGACACATTTTATCAATTTTGTTGCTTAAAAAGTGCATCTGTGTATGTATATACTGCGTTTTCAGCAGTGTTAGGACAAGTGCATGAATATATCAATGAATTAAAACAATCATATTCGTTTCTGTTTAATTATTTGTGGCCACCGTATTATTTTTAAATAACGAACTTAATGCACATCTGTCATGAATAACTTGATTTATTAAGGAAACGACAACTTATATTCATGCCAGGGGCCTGGTTTTCGAAAGTATCTTATGACTAAGACATGTCTTACGATGGTCTTATGACATGTCATAGTCGTAAGATATGTTTTCGAAATTAAGTGTCCCAAGTTGCGATATGTCATAACTTTTATCGTAGACTTAAGACACCTCGCGACATGACTTATGATGGTCTTATGATCATCAACTCAAATCTTAACTACTTTTCATGTATAATTTCATGTTCAGTACAATTATAAAAATAATAGTTGTGTTGCTCAGTCAGCTAAATAGTAAAGATTTATTCTTCTCCACTTCGTCAATTAAAATTTGATTCTCCTGCGACGTAAAATTTGGACTCTTTTTCTTACTCATGATTTTTTATAATACATATATATATTATTTCTTAAAAGTTTCCTTATATAGTACGTTATTAACGTATTTGCACGGGGATTTCGTTAAGCGGGTACTCGATGTACCGAATCTTAAAAGTATTCACAATCAAATAACACTTCCTGTATGATAATACATGAACGCGAAGTTCAAGATTAATTATATATACAAACTAAATTTAAACAAATTATCTTTCCTTTTCATACATAATTTCATGTTCATTATAATGAAAAAAATTAAATATTCGCAAATAATAAGAATAGTAATAATTAGTATGTTCATACTTATTATTTTTTTTATTTATTTTAATCATTATTTAAAATAAAAGAAAATATGTCCACTTATAACAGTCATAAGAGCATCACAGGTATGACTATCTTGGGACAACTTTGATTTACATTCTATGACATATCATATGATAGTCATAAGATGGTCATAAAATTTGTCCTAAGATATATCTTATGACATATCTTAGGATACTTTCGAAAACCAGGCCCCTCGTTGTAACTTGCAAGATAAATTCTATTTAATAGGATGAACAGATTGTGTACAGTTATTTTGAGTACTTAAAATGGAAAGAATTTGAAAGAACGCGCAATGATTTCCCGCCAGCAAGACCACTCAAACTTCATATAGATGACACAAAAATGTCGGAAGTATACAAGCTGCTTAAAAAATTTCCAAAAGGTGGAAATATTCATTTGCATCATAGTGAGTTGTGCTTTTATTTTTCTTAAAATCTACTATATTCCATTTATTTATGTCCACTTTTAAAACATTTGAAATGTCGGGGAAATTCTAAAAAGTGTCCGAACGTTGCTGTTACAATTATCCGTGAAAGTTGATAAGATGTAGTTTGGATTTCGTATTCATTAACAAAATTTGGACAAAAGAGGATTAATGTTATGTAAAGACAGTTTTGGATTAAATTCCGTTTTATATCAACCAAATTTCTTGGAAGAAAGAGCGCTGTAATAATTCTACATTTAATTAATTGTTTAATATTTAACCGAGCCTGCAACATATCTGACACAACACCACCAAATCTTCAATTAACAAGAACACGAAGAGACTATTAGTTCAAGAAAATGATTGTTTAAAAAATTGGTTAATTCTTTATCTCTCTATACTTTGTTCTTAAAAAAAGTCAAATACAGTCAAAGAGAGGCGAAAGATACCAAAGGGACATTCAAACTCATAAATCGAAAATAAACTGACAAAGCCATGGCTAAAAAAAAAGACCAACAGACAAACAATAGTACACAAAACACAACATAGTAAACTAAAGATTGAGCAACAAGCTAGAACCCCAACAAAAAACCTGTATATAAAGTCCATCCTCATAACCACTAAAAACTGACCTTATAATAAAGGCGACCTTTAAATTGAGATACAAAGGTGTTATATACTAGCACTACAGTGGAACAAGAAAAAGGGTTACCTGACAAGACAACTAAGTTCTTGCTTAATAAGGATGACCTAGAGAAAAGGTTTGTCTGTAATCTATAAAGCTTAAATACTGGAAAATAATCATTAAAACAACAAATTTGTCGTTGGTAACTAACTGGAAGTAAAAGCAGCCGCTTAGTTCAATAATTTATGACCTACGGAGGGGAAATTTCTGTCTTATTAGTCTTATAGCTCCTTAACTGTTTCGGTTCTTATACATTCCTGACTTTCAAATATTTGTCTTCGAGCGTTCCGGACGAAGTTAAATCCAGAAAAGCGTTTCAAGAGCATTATTATATTTATGTCGAGTAATTTTTTTCTAATGGGATCAATTGGGACTTCAGTGGATAACACATCAATCTGCGTTATAAAACAAAACAACCTTGTTAAATGATATAAGCGCCTTGACTTTTGCAAGTTTAAATACTTTGCGTCACATCTAAGATAGCCTTTTGTTTTAATAATGTAAATTCTAAATTAACAGCCTATGTCCCTCTAAAATTAGTTCAAAATTGTTTTATTACTTGTGTTTAAAGACATTTATAAACCGGGACCTCGAAGCTTAGAGTTAAGGTTGAAGTTTCGCATACTAGCAGAATAGCAGTATTAAGGTTCGTGTACTAAAATCACAGTTTAAGAGATAAAATGTTTGAAATAGCTGTTTTAATGTTTATAGAAATCGTTTATAAATAAAAAGTCACGTAAAGTGCATAATGCTTATTCATCGCCACGAAAAAAAAACCAATATGATGTCTTTGTTCAATTTTCAAATAGTCCCCTCCCTATTTTGTGCTTCTTATCCCCTTGGAACTCGTGATGAGAGTGAATGTTTTTATTTATTTTATATTCACTCGCTCTATGTCCATAATACAAACATAGTATTGTAGTTGCTGCGTGATATAATCAGCTATATCAAGATATGTTTTTTTTTTTTTCGTACATTCCATTCATTTATCTAGCTTGTAAAAGTTAAAAAAAATCAATAGATATAGGAAGATGTGGTATGAGTGCCAATGAGACAACTCTCCATCCAAGTTACAATTTATAAAAGTAAACCATTATAGGTCAAGGTACGGCCTTCAACACGGAGCATTGGCAAGTTTACATTCCATAACTCCAAATACTTTGCAGACAATTAGGGTGCAAAAGGATCTTACAATGTACAACAATAAATAATTATTTGTTATTTTATATAGTTAAAATGATACACCTTTAACTTAAATTCAGATCGTATTATCTTCATCTACTTGCAGATCACGTGGTCAGCAAGCAAAAAATGCTTGAGTTAATATTTTCCAGTTTTTTATACGACCATTTATATGTCAAAGCTAGTGCACCTGCTATGTGGAATCTAGATTTTTTCTTGAATCCTCCTCAAGGATGGAACAAAGTCAAAGACAATCCTGCATATACAAAAGATATTCTAGTAAAGCATGCAACACTCCTTGGTGTAATTGACACGAAAGCAACTAACAATCCAACAAACAGTGACCAACGATGGAAAGAAATGAATCCTTTGTTTGGTGTTTTGGGTTCTAACATCATCAATCATGCAAATTTTTCAAAGATTTATATGAACGCATTACTTCAGCAAGCAATGGATGAAAATGTTCAGTATTTAGAAACTAAATCTTCATCATCTAACAAATTGTACGTGTTAGATCCAGACAGAAGCTATTTAGTAAAAAATGGAAAACGCTTCATTGACAATGACTTGGGTGAGCTGGAATTACAATTTACAAATGAGGTTGTCCAAAAGTTCAAACAAAATAATCCAAACTTCGTCGGATACAAAAGAATCATTAATTCTTATCGCGGTAAAGATGAACAATATATTTTGAAAAATGCTAAAAAAGCGTTGACGTTATTTGAAAAGTATCCTGATTTAGTATCGGGATTTGACCTTGTGGCTGAGGAAGACAAAGGGTATTCCCTTTTATTCTACCTTGACGATTTTGCGAAGATGGCAGCTCAGAATGTCTCATTGCCATACTTTTTTCATACAGGAGAAACAAACTGGCCAGACGATCTCCTTTCTTCACCACATAACGACGATCCTGTTCCTACCATGGGGAATGTTTACGATGCAATTCTTCTTGGCGCCAAAAGAGTAGGTCATGGAATAGGTTATGTGAAACATCCTTATCTGATGGAAGTTTTGAAAAAGAAGAACATTGCAATAGAAGTAAATCCAACTAGTAACAAAATGTTAGGTTACGTTGCAGATCAGCGACATCATCCAGCCATCACCTATCTTCGGTATGGAATACCTATTGTACTGGGTTCCGACGATCCAGCTACTTTTGGCTATGATGAATTTACCGTCGACTGGTATGAGGCTTTTATGAGTTGGGGACTCAATCTGGCCGATCTACGACATCTATCCTTTAATTCCTTACGTTATAGTTCTCTCTCTAGTTCAGAGAAGAATGTGGCGTACCAAAAATGGAAACTTTCATATGACAGTTTTATTCTAAATACAAAGACAATTGCATGTAAACACACATTTCAAAACACTTCTCCACACATTTTTAGAATTTTTCCACAGGAAAGCGATACGAAAGGTGGAACAAAAATCCAGGTATTTGGAAGAAACTTTCACGTTGCTATTTGCAAGAAAATAATATGTAAATTTGGCGATATAAATACAAAAGGAACATTTGTATACAGTCACAGAATAATGTGCTACTCTCCAGACTTGTCTCACGGAAATACAATACATTCGCGCGTTGTACCATTGACCATCTCCCTCGATGGTGGTTTAACGTACATACAGAACACATTTACTTTTTCGTATTTTCAAAACAATCACTTACCAATTCCTGATATTTTTGGATAATGAACATATGCCATTTTACAAGCAAAGACAAACGGTCAAATGGATTAGTACAGAAATATCTGGTTACAGACCATCGCCTCTAGCATCTGTTTGTTTTTCTGAAATATCCATCATCAAATCAACTAAAGTGATGACACCACATCCAAAAAAACAACTATTATCTTATTTCTTTTTGTGAAACCAAACCAAACAGACAAAACACGGATCAAAAATGGCAACACACATTAAAACACTATAGTATCCGAATAAACAGGGTAACAATATAAAGTTTTTACCTAAAAAAAAAACATATACTTGTTGATTTTACAGTGGTCAAAATGTACTAATTATAGCCAGGTAAAATATACTTCGAGAATTGGTAGAACAGGATGCATATCTCGTAATACGAGGACATTTATTTTGTAGTGGTCAAATAACTTGTCATGGCAAACACTTACGCTTCTGCATCAATAACGAGAGTTTGATTTCATTTTATTTCCTACGGAGTAGTTTCAATGAAATTAAGAAAAGAAAAGAGCAATTTTATCAGTCTTAGGAAATGTTAAAAATGACAGGAATAGTATAGAAACACACGAACCAACTTATTTTTCCCTTTGCACGAGTATACTTGAATTTGTTCGCGCATATCTAACATAGTACATTTATATTCCACTTGTTACTCATAAGAAAATGACCTAGTAGTAGCCGAAATTCCTGTATACGTTTGGGAGAGTTTATAGATTTGTAAGCTAACTGCCTGATGAATACCCTTAGACTTGAGAACATTTTTTAATTGATACAATTTTTAGAAATCTGTCTATGTCAGAATCTATTGGTTGGAATCAGCTTTTAACTTGAGCTTTCTTCTTGTTGGTTGTTGTGTTGATTTGATATGATTCTGGTCTTTTGTTGGCGACAGGCTAAGAAGAACACTGGTACCAATTAATAATGCATATTGATGACTCCATGGAGCTTGTTTTTGGATTAATTGCATACTGTTTTATATTTTCCCCATTCTACACTATTACTCATGCCCATAGTTGTCAGTAACTGTTAGTACTCTCAGATCTGTACTTTGTGTCTTTTTGGTTGTGATGGATGTATAAATAACCTGCCACGTCCGGTCTGTGTTTTTGTTAGATGTTTTTTCTGTTTCGTATCAATCTGATGACAAAAGCCCTTTTCAACTGCTTTTTATAGTTTGTTCATTTGTTGTTCTGTTACACCACAGTCCCAGGTTAGGTGAGGGTTGACGCCTTCAAACATGTTTAATCCCGCTACATTCTTTATGAGCCTATACCAAGTCAGTAGCCTGTAGTTCAGTGGTCGGCGTTGATTCATGTCTGTCATATTTGTTTTTTATAAATTGTTTTGTTATAAATTAGGCCGTTCGTTTTCTCAATTGAATTGTTTCACATTTTTCATATCGGGGCCTTGTATAGCCGACTATACGGTATGGGTTTTTATCATTGTTGAAGGCCGTACGGTTGCATATAATTGCTTACATCCACTTCATTTGAACTTTGGTGGATTGTTATCTCATTGGCAATCGTACCACATCTCCTTATTTTTATATGGGTTTAAATACAGACCACATTTGCTAATCAATTAGTGCTTTCCATACAAAATTGGTAATTGTAGATATGATGTTTCCAAAATCACTACCCAGGGTTTATCGCCAGCATCAATTGACTGATATGATTTATTCGTGTTTGAACTTACAAGAGACATGTTTTCGAGGTCTTATGTCTTAAGACACAGAAAAAGTCGTTTGTTAGGTGCCGACTGTGCCCTATTATCTATTGTAATACTATGAGTCTGGCCTTGTATTGAAGAAGTATTTTCCATAAAAATCCTACGTGGACTATTTTGTACGGCATGCGATATAACCAAATTATTAATCTAAAACTGAAAGTTTCCTTGCCAATGTGCCAGTACAAATAATAGACATATAACTAAAACTGCGGTGTCCAGACGGGCCCGGATCCCAGTAAAATATTTAAGTGGAAAATAACCTCGTTTAACACTTTTGAAATGAGCTAGGTCTGGTTCTGAACTTTGCCGTCTGACCACCACAGGGGTTCAAAGTTGCCCCTTAACGTACTTTTCATATCAACAGCACATGCTTTCGATACTCCTCGGCAATTCATTGCGGCAAAGTTCCGAACCAGACCTAGCTCATTTCAAAGGTGTTGATCGAAGCTATTCGCCACTTAAATATTTTTTTGGGATCCGGACCCGTCTGGACACCACAGGAGTTCAAAGTTTCCCCTTAACGTATTTTCCATTAAAACCACACATTCGGTACTCCTCGGCAAGTCCCTACGGCAAAGTTCCGAACCAAACCTAGCTCATTTCATTTCATTTCAAAAGGTGTTGAACGAGGCTATTCGCCACTTAAATATTATGTGTCATAATCTTTTTCTTTTATTGTTTCTTTCATTTTATAAAAAGAAGAATTGTCAACTTTATTATAACATTACTGAGCTAAAGTCGTGTACAACTTTTATTCAAAATGGTTATCTGGGTTACGTTTCATATGGTAGTCATAACATATAAGAACCAGGAATTACTAAATGTATTAAACTCCAAGGTATAAACAAGAAATCATGTCAACATACATTGGTTAATTTGGAGAAAATCTCATCAAATGATCATACTGCAAGAGTTCTGTTTTGATACAGGATTAAGGGCAGCGCAAACAATGTGATATTGCCAATTTCCAAGTATGAGTTTCACCCGTAAATAAAGTCGCGCGTGTCTTCTAGTAAAATTATATGTCAGATCGTCCCAACATTCACACAGTTATTCTTGTATCGAAGGACTGTCAAAACATAAAAAACAAGAATGTGTCCATAGTACACGGATGCCCCACTCGCACTATCATTTTCTATGTTCAGTGGACTGTGAAATTGGGGGTCAAAACTCTAAATTGGCATTAAAATTAGAAATATTATATCATAGGAAACATGTGTACTAAGTTTCACGTTGATTGGACTTCGACTTAATCAAAAACTACCTTGACCAAAAACTTTAACCTGAAGCGGAACAGACGGACGAACGAACGAACGGACGGACGGACGATCGGAAGCACAGACCGAAAAACATAATGCCCCTATAAACCTGTTATTTAAAGTACAGGAAACTAATTAGCACAAGCTGAAATTAGCCTTTTTTTTGTTCACTACACTTTAAGCAAATAACAGTAAATCAATCAATCTATCGCTAGGTAGATGTATATATAGTATTGATAGTGTAAATGTTTGTGTTAACTGAACATTTCAAGATTTGTTTAGGGGTGCCCTTTTAAGTTAATTTACGAATTAATTAACTTAAGAACGTTCTTATACTTCTATAAAAAACTAAGTTTTTTTAACGAGTTGAAACCAATCGGTTGATTCTCGGATTCTAACAATGGAGTTTGTAGTTTGTTGACTTATGCCAAGACAGACACCAAGATGTTTGAAAAGGGTTTCATGAAAGACCGTCTTATAAATTGCAGTTTTCAAGAATCAAATGCTGTGAAATGGCTGTGAATGTATACATAGAGGTTTCAAGTTTACTATTCAGTGTAGTGTTATTTACATAATATGAACACAAAATAAGATCCTTCGCCACCTGGATTAATAACTTATACATTTATTGAGGGTTTGTGAAAACATCTTAACCGTCAGTGGGCCTTTCAATTATTCGTGGCTCCGTTTGGCCTTTCTGTGTGACGAATTCTGATCCGAAGCAACGATTTCACTGATCAAGTTCTTTAAAAGACTTGTTTTATTTGCTGGAACCATCTAATGAACCGGTAAACAATATACGTTCTACTTCCAGTTGATGGTTTTATGTAGCTCTTCATTGTCATTAGTAATTATGTATTCTGCATTACTACTGTATTTAATATTTATGTTAAAGAGAGGCATAGTTAGGTTTCTTTTGATTTTAAAATCCAACCAATATGTCAAGCCCGCAAAACAAAATAAACAGAAAATTGGCTTCTTATAAAGGTCAATGAAACATTAATCAATTTAAAAAATAAATCCAAATACACATCTGGAGGACAACATATTGTCTTAAAAAATTGTAAACATTAGATTTATAGTAAAAATTTAAAATAAAAAAGAAATAGATATAGAGACTGATCGTCACTGCAAAAGATTTAAAGATAGAGTGCATAATATCCAAAAGTCTTTTTATTGTTGAAATTGTGGTTTATCTTTAAAAAAATCAATTTTAGGGTATATATAAAGAAACCATTTATAAAGTCGGACTTTGAGACATTTTCTTTGACTATAGTCTATATAAATTGGAAAGAACTAAAAAAACAAAATTATACAGCGAAAGTTGCACATATAGATATGCTTGTTGTTCAATGCTGTCGCTTCATATATTCACAGTTTGCATGAACCAATATGTAGAAAACTACGGATACAAGCTACCCAAGCGTAAAACTATAATCGCACTTCTAATCCAGAGGAAATTTCACGAACGTAGACATTTCTAAGCAAAGAGTCTGGTGCGCGAATAAAAAAAGTCTGTAACTTCCAATGCAAAAAACTGAAGTTATATCAGGATAAGTACCTCCTGCTTTACTTACAACAGCCGTGTAATTACTCACTTACTAGTGTGGTCAGTGTCAAACTCGATAGGAACCCGATATGGCTGTTGTCAACTGTGATGATCGTCCAATTTGTGATGCAATTTTGCAGATATGATATTCGTTTAGAAGGTATGAACCAAGAAAACGTAATGAAAATTAAATCTGATGTTATAAATATGTCGGTTTGTGTAAGTTGTTGTTATACCGGAAGTGTTTCAATTAAAGTACAATGCATATTTTTACACATTTCTGTCTATCTATTAAAAACTCGATACCTCTTTGTTTCTCCCCATGTCCAGTTTGAAAGATATATGATTGGTTGATTATGTCCTTAAAACCCGGTTTTTGGTGGGTTCTTGTAGCCATAATTTAGTTTCCTCTATGATTTGTTTTGAAGACTGTTGTTTGTCTTTCGTCGTTTTTCGTTTTTGTCATGTCGTTGTCAGTATATTTTCAAATCGTTTTCAATGTTCCTTTCGTATCTTCCGCATATTTCAAAAATGACTTCCA